ATATATAACATCTAGGAGGCTGATATGGGTAAAGCTGATAAAAAAAACAGTTTAACAGATTTAGTTGAATAAGTCTGCGTCTTGTATTTGTAAGAACGGTTTGTGAATCTGTGGAGATTGTTTTTTCTGCATTGTGTAAACTTTGTCTAAATCATTTCCCCATTTTTCCTTATTAGTTAGATGTTCATATCTACAATGTTTGTTTATCAATGAATACATTTTAGATTTAATCTTTTTAGGAGAAATCATCTTTGCAATTACACTAACAAACGTTCACACAATATTTCTGGAAAATATTTTCTAGTTTTGTCTTTTACTCAGCTTTTCAGGCTGTAGATATTTATATAAGTCAGCAGGGAGAAGTTTACATTGTTCTCTGATGCTAGAGAACTCTTTGAACACTCCATCCTTATGGAGATCTCATGGGATGTTGTGATATAGCCGGTCATTTAATCTTATACTTTTGACAATTCTGACAACAACTTAATGTGTGATCCAAAACTGAGCATGTGACTATCCAAACATTTTTTGATTGTGCTACAATATAATAAAGTCTAAAATATGGGGGAATAATACCTCCTTTCTCTAGAGAAGCTTTTAGTTTTGATTGTTTGTTTTATCCCAACATGTTTAAATGGCCATATAAATTTATATATTACCATACCATACCATTTTATTTATAGAGCATCTTAAAACAGCGACAAGGCCAACCAAAGTGCTGTACAGACAGAAAAACAGGCAACACACAAAGCAAAATACAAAATGACGTTAAATCAGAATATAGACATAAAAAAGTTGCAGATAATAAATATGACGACTAACCAGTGTGGAGCATACAGGTTCAAAACACAGATCATCTGGTGTTGAAAGCTACTGAATAGTAGTGGGTTTTTAAATGGGATTTGCAAACCGAGAGGGAGGGGGCCTGTCTGACAAGCAGAGGTAACTCATTCCAAAGTCTTGGTCCTGCTACAGAGAAGGCCCTGTCACCTCTGCGCTTAAGACGAGTTCCTGGAACTGTGAGGAGCAACTGGTCCGCTGACCTCAGAGAACGCGGTGGGACATACGGCTG